CCACGCTATCCACAACTCCACCAACCTTCGTGTCATCGGCAAACTTACTAACCCACCCTTCCACTTCCTCATCCAAGTTATTGATAAAAAGCGCAAAGAGCAGAGGCCCCAGAACTGATCCCTGTGGAACACCACTAGTCACCGAGCTCCAGGCTGAATACATTCCATCTACTACCACCCTCTGTCTTCTATTGGGCAGCCAGTTTTGTATCCAGACAGCCAAATTTCCCTGAATCCCATTCCTCCTTACTTTCTGAATGAGCCTACCATGTGGAATCTTATCAAATGCCTTGCTAAAATCCATATACACCACATCCACTGTTCTACCTTCATCGATGTGTTTTGCCACATCCTCGAAGAATTCAATAAAGCTTGAGAGACATGACCTGCCCCTCACAAAGCCATGCTGACCATATCTAATCAAACTGTGCTTTTCCAAATAATCATAAATATTATCTCTCAGAATCCTCTCTGATAATTTGCTCACCACAGAAGAAAGACTGACCGGTCTGTAATTTCCAGGATTATCCCTATTCTCTTTCTTGAACAAGGGAATGACATTTGCCACCCTTCAATCTTCTGGCACTACTCCAGTTGACAGTGAGCACGCAAAGATCATTGCCAAAGGGGCAGCAATCTCTTCCCTTGCTTTCCGTAGTAACCTTGGGTATATCCCGTCTGGCCCAGGGGACTTATCTATCCTCATGTTTTTCAAAATTTCCAGCACATCCTCCTCCCTAACAACAACCTGATCGAGCATATCTGCCCGTTTCATGCTGTCCTCACAAACGTCAAGGTCCCTCTCACTAGTGAATACTGAAGCATGTTTAAAAAAAAAAAAAAGCCATAGAGCCGTACGGCACAGAAACAGTCCCTTCGGTTCGACTTGTCAATGCCAACCAGATATCCTAAATTAACCTAGTCCCATTTGCCAACATTTAGCTTGTATCCCTATAAATACTTCCTATTCATGTATCCATCCAGATGCTTTGTAAATATTGTAATTGTACCTACCTCCACCACTTCCTCTGGCAGCTCATTCTATATACATACCACCCGCTGCATGGAAGAGGTGCTCCTTAGGTCCCTTTTAAATCTTTCCCCTTTCACCTTAAAACTATGCCCTCTGGTTTGGGACCCCGCTACCCTGTGGAAAAGGGCTATTCATCCTATCTATGCCCCTCATGATTTTATAAACTTCTATAAGGTCACCCCTCAGTTTCCAACACTCAAGGGAAAATATTAACATGAAACTGTGGTCAAAACCTCTGTTTCAGGTTTGCTGTAATTGCCAGTAAAGATCAATACAAGCTGGAGGAGCAACATTTCATCTTCTACCATGGGAGCCTGGAGCCTTCAAGATGCAACATTAAGTTTAAAAATTTCAGAGCGTGACCACCATCCTTCATGCACGTGACCCACCCCCATACCCTCTGATCCTGTTCTAAATGGGTGTCTCCCTGCACAGCCAACACATTTTCAACTATTCATACTTCCCATTAGCACCCAATTAGCATCTATCTTTCTCCTGGGCATCAGCAATCCCCCTGGCTGCTTCTACTGTTTTTCTCTCTCTGTCTTGGCACTGTCTCCATGTATTCTACTCACTCCTCCATATCTGCCCCAAACTCACCTCCATCAGCAGCACAAATACCATTTCCCAGCTACTTTCACTTACGATGAAGGGTCACTGGACTCAAAACATTAACTCTGTTTCTCTCTCCACAGATACTGCCAGATCTGCTATGTTTCTCCTGCGTTTACTGTTTTTATTTCAATTAACTGTGGGGATCTTGTAGTGCAAATTAGTGACCAGATCAACAGACAACTTCTGGTTAGAAATACAATTCTATGATCCCAATGAACACTAATAACAAAAGTTCCAACATCACACCCTCCGACAATGACAGTATCAATATCATCACACCAACCCCAACAGTTATGTCTGCCTGCCAAACATACAAACAGGAATTGGCAATTCAACCCCTTGAACCGCTTCCACTATTCAATGAGATCATAGCTAATCTGTGGCCTAATTCCATATGCCTGCTTTTGGCCTGGATACTTTAAAACCTTTGTGTACCAAAAATTTATCTGTCTCAGGTTTAAAATTAACAACTGATCATGTGTACACTGCTGTTGTGGAACAGAGTTCCAAACATCTACCACCCTTTGTGTGTAGAAGGGCTTCCTAACATCTCAGAATGAGAATATCAGAATCAGAATATCCTTTATGGCCTGAATGGCCTGGCCTTGATCCTCAGACTATGATCTACTTCTAGAATTCCCAACCAGTGGAAATAGTTTAGTGACCTTGCCCTGTTAATATCTTGAAGACTTAGATCAGATCACCCCTTAACTTTTTAAATTCTAGAGACAATAGGCCTAATTTGTATAATCTCTCCTCATAATAACCCCTGAAGTCCAGCTACCATTCTTGTAAATCTACCTTGTACTCCCTCCAAGGCCATTATATCCTTCCTGAGGTGTGGCACCCAGATCTGCTCACAGTATTCCAAGTGGGGTCTAACCAGGGTTTTGTATAACTGCAGCATAGCTTCTGCATCCTGGTACATCAGTCCTTCAGATATAAAGGCCATTAGTTTTCCATTAGCTTTCATGATTATTTTCTGCACTTGTTTGTGGCATTTTAAAGATTTATGCAGCTGAACTCCCAAGTTTCTTTGGGCATCCACTGTATTTAACTTCATACCATCCAAAAAGTACCCAACCTTTCTCAGTCCAAAATGGATAACCTCACACTTGCTCACATTGAGCTCCATCGGCCAGTTTTGCCCATTTGCCAAATCTATCAATATCCTCTTGTAATCTTATGCGATTACCTACACTGTCTATAATGCTGCCTAACTTTGTGTCGCCAGCAAATCTGAATATATGCCATTATCCAAGTCACCAATAAGTAATGTGAATAATTGAGGCCCTAACACAGACCCTTGTGGGACACCACTGGTCACATCCCGTCAATTTGAGCACCTACCCATTACCCCTACTTTCTGTCACCTGCCACTCAACCAATTTCCCAGCCATGTCAATAATTCGCCCTCAAATCCATGGGATTCTACCTTAGTTAACAGTCTCAATGTAGGACTTTATCAAATGCCTTCTTGAAGTCCTTATAAATAACATCCATATTCCTCTGTCCACTACCTTAGTTACCTCTTCAAAAAAGTCAATGAGTTTAGTCAGGCGTGACTCACCCAACATGAATCCATGCCGGTCTCCCTGATTAACTGAAATTTTTCAAGGCGTTCTGTTACCACGTCCTTGATTACAGACTCCAACTATTTCCCCACCGTGGATGTGAGGCTAACAGTTCCCTGGTTTTCCTCTTTCGCCCTTCTTAAAAGGCAGGGTGACACGTGCAATTTTCCAATCGGGAGGGATGACTCCTGTCTCTCGGGAACTCTGAAAGGTTACAGTTAGGGCGTTTACAATATGGTCCCCTACTTCCTTTAGTACCCTCTGATGTAAACCATCAGCTCCCAGGGATTTGTCACTCTTGAATTCCATTTATTTTCTCTTCACCAACATTTTACTTATTTACTTTTATTCAGTCCCTGTTTCCAAATGACCAATTCCTCACGACTTCTGGCAAGCCATCCTCCTTTTCTGCTGCAAATACTGAGGCATGTCTGCCTTTTCCCCATAACATTTGACAGTATCTCCACCTTCAGTCTTTGCTGGGCCGGCACTGCTCCTGACCATCTTGCTTTCCTTTTATGGAACTATAACATTTCTTCTTATCAATTTTGATGCCCCTGGCAAGTTTCCTTTCATAAGCTCTTGTAAGCTGCTTTATGACCCTTTGCTGATCTTTGTATCTTTCACATTCAGCAGGATCTGTGCTGTTTTTTGCTATTTTTGTAAGCCCTTTCTTTTAGTTTTAAGCAGTCCCCTTATTTCTTTAATTGTCCATAGCTTTTTTTTCCTGTGAAGTGGAACTTTTCCCCCTCAGGGTTATAAACTGGTTTTGTGTTGTGTTAAATGTTTCTTTAAACAACCCCCTGCTGTTCTTCAGTTCTTTTACCCATGCGCAGATTTTCCCAGTTTATTGTAGACAGTCTCTCATCTCGTTTAACTCAGCCTTACCTAAAATCTAAAACCTAGAGCTGATTCATACTTTTTGCTTTCAAATGCTACATTGAATTCAGTCATGTTATGATCACTATTTGATAAATGTTCACACACGATTAGATTACTAATTAAATCTGACTCATTACTCATTAATAAATCCAATATTGTTTGTCCCCTTGTTGTAATCAGGACATAACTGCTGTCAAAAACTATCCTGGACACACTCCAGAAATTTACTATCTTTCTGACAGGCGCTTGTCTCCCTCTCCCAATCTATGTTAAAGTTAAAATTCCTCATTTAATACAACTCTGGTTTTGCCACACACTTGCCCAATTTCCGCATTTATATAATCTAGCACATCAGAGCTGCTACCGGGAATCTGTACACAACACACATTACAGTTTTAGATCCTTTACTGCTCCTCAGTTCCATCCATAAGTTCTCTACTGAATGTTTTCCCCTTTTTATATCCTCCCTCACCATCAAAGTAATTTGTGTCTCTGACACAACATAACATTGCTGTTGTTATCAGGAACATTGTCCCAATCGTGACAGAATCATGGTCCTCAGTAACTACAGCTTTATATCCTCGCTCCCCGAGGCTGCCATTTAAGAAATGTATTATTCAAGAAGCAGTAGCGAGTAATCACTCCTGAGCGGCTGTAGTGGAAGGTAATTAATTCACCAATACCAGGCTGGATAATTCCACCCCTGTATTATCGCAATCACTGTTGGCCAACTGACTCGTCCCACTTACTGGAAAAACTGTACCAGATGCAGTCAGGGACATCCCACTGTTGCAGGGTGTCTCCATGTTTCTATACACAGCGACTCCTCTGCAAGTAACGCTGCCAGTTGAAGAGATCTTCCTCCCCAGTTGTAGTTGGCAGGCAGCTGCTCTTACCTTGGCCCATTGCTGGGCTCTGTTCCTCATGCGGTTTGCGTTCCTCTCCTCTGCATACAGTGCCCCCATGAACGAGCCAATTGAGGTCCCACCCACCATGTCGATGGGGATACCAGCCTCGTGCATCGCTCGGATAATCCCCACCTGAGAACAGCCCCTGTGAACAAATACAGTTCATGTGGTTACAGCCTAGAACATACACAGCATTTTCCAACATTAACAGACAGTAGCATACACAGAGAATAGAGAAACTTAATGCCAGACCTGCTGTCTGTGGAGAGAGAAGGAGAGTTCTGACTTCCATTCTGCCCGTAGGAATGACTATGCCCTTTCAGTTGCTTCCCACATGAATAAACCACCTTGCTCTGATGCTAACATTTCTGCCCTGGGCCTGCTGCAATGTTCCAATGAAGCACAACACAAGCTCATAGAACACCACCTCATTTTCTGCTCAGGCACTTTACAGCTTCATGGTCTCAACATTAAATTTCCGAGCTTCAGAAACTGACCGCATTGTGACTATCTCCATTTTTCTTCGAATCTCTTCGCCAGAACTGTGTCACATTTATAGCACATTTACAATGCACTTCGTAGAAAGCACCAATTCTCTCCCTTTCACACCCTGATTTACTCTCTTTTCACATCTTTTTGTCTTTCTCCATTATTAACAACCTCTGTCTTGTGCATTGGGCTCTATATCATCTGCCCTCTGGCTCCTCCTTGGCCTCTGTCAAAAGTATAAAAGGCAGCTATACTCCAAGACCTTTTCATTCTGAAGATGAGTCATACTGGACTCAAAACATTAGCTCCCTTTCTCTCTCCACAGATGCTGCAAGACCAGAATTTCTCCAGTATTTCAGCATCCACAGTATTTTCCTCCTTAGACTTTAGATTTGTTCAATATTAGTTAGAAACTGGACCTTACTATCACAGGAGAAAGTTGGGGGAAATAACTCAGATGCTTTTGCAAGGAAACTAGGTGAGTACACAGGAGAAAATGGAATAGAATAAACACTGAGATGAAGTGGATGGAGTGGGAAAGAGTTGGAGTCGGAACACCAGTACTGATTAGTTCTGCCAAATAGCTGTTTATGAATATATATTACCTCAAGTAATTTTTCCCTCTTGGTGCTTTTTCTCCCTATCTCATATAAAAGAAAGTTCGATTAAAAACTCAAAGAACTGCAGATGCTGGAAATCAGAAACAAAAACAGAAATCGCTGGAAAAGCTCAGCAGGTCTGGCAGCATCTGTGGAAAAAAATTGCGTGAATATTTTGGGTCCCATGACCTTTCCTCAGAACTGATGGTAGCTGAGAAAAGGCTGTTTATTTTCAGACAGGGGGAGGGGATAAGGAGTAAATGATAGATGCGGATAGAACCCAAAGAGAGAGAAGAACGGTCGGATAGACAAATGGAGTGGATAACGATCAGCTTAGTGGCTAACAATGGGTTGCGTGTAATAATGTTAACTCTGATTTCTCTCCACAGATGCCGCCAGAACAGCTGAGCTTTTCCAGCAATTTCTGTTTTTGTTTCAAAAGAAAATTAGCTTTCGTTTGAGATTACGAACACCGCTGAAGACTGCCTGGGGAGATGCATTATATGATAGCCTCAGACATGCTTCCTTTTATTGTATTTTTGTCTCCAAGTCAGAAGGTCTCATCTGAGACAAGAGAGCCTTGTCCCAATGCAGTGCTGAACAAGTCCTGCACCATTGGTAACACCATCTTCCAAGGTGATGATAACTGGAGGCCATGCCTGCCACCCAGATGAACAAATAAGACAGCATGGCACCCAACACCACTGTCCTTGTTAGTAACTATCCCTCAACCATAATCATTGAACAGACTGCTGATAGAGTTTCTATTTTTGGCACAGCTGGGAAATAAGTCATGAATTGTACTCATTAGACTGGAGTTCAAATGTCCACTAAAATACATTTCTATAACTTCACAAATGTAGAATCTTTAACAACAATATAATCAGCTTGCATTATAGAACATAATTATGTATTCTTGATATCATTAAGAGTGATAAATCTTAGTTTTATTAACAGAGCTGAAAATAGGCTTGTCACAAAAAAGTGAGCACATTATTTATGAATGCTCAGTACATGTACTTCATAACTAAAATTATATTGAACTGTCTCACTGATGTGCACTGGCATTTTAGTTTAGTCAGCTTGCTAGCAAATTAAATATGTTCTTAAATATGTAACAATGTTTTAAATGTGCCAACTAGTTCCTCCGTACCACGCCTGGGAACAGCCTCCTCTATGGGCCTTAAATAAGTTCATTCAGCAGAAATTTGCCAAGCTCAGTATTTAGGTCAAGGCTCTTTTACAGTGGAGCAAAATGATTCTGAATAGTGATATAAATGCTGCAATATCTGGACTTCTGTTTTGACACAAAATTTACGCTCAGCCTTGCTGAGTGAATTGACTATCGTGTTTCTAACATTACGATTCAGCTACAATCCCATTGGTTGCAAAACACTTTGTGCTATTCTAAGGTCACGACTGGTGCTACTTAAATGGAAGCCTTTCTTTATGCTGTTGAATTACACGCACCCTGATCTATCCCGGTTTAGCTCCTGGTCTGTGCGGATTGCTGATTTAACGGTACAGAAGGAATTTGCCTTCACTGAAACCCGCTGAGGGATACTGGATGGAGGTGCTGGGGGAGAAACTGGCCCTCCCCATGAGCCCTAGAGTAACGGTGGGCAACGGTGACATCAGGATGGTCTCAGTTCAGCGAACCCTCAGGACCAAATGGCCTGCCAACAACATCCAGCCTCACAGCTGAAGACAGATGGTGGGTGAAGCAGTGGAGAGTAAAACAAATGTTAGCATCTATTAGTGCAGCAAAGGGAAATTAAAACAGCTTACTACATTAGCAAGAGATACATGGACAGATGCAGAATTGCTGCAGTGCCACAATGACCCATCACTTCAGAGGGCAATTATGGGATGCAAAGTGGGAGTTTTGGTTTCCAGAAACAAGTGTCAGATTTTATTCCAGTTACAAAGTCAGTGACACTTTCCATAAAAGACACGAAAAACAGAGTCAACTATTTGTGTATCTGCTGCATCACAAGATGTCCATTAAAAAAAAATCAAAAGTAACTTTAAAATTTTTTTTTCCTTTATTCATTTACAGGATAAGGGCATCGTTTTTAGGCAGCATTTATTTCCCGTCCCTAATTGCCCAGAGGGCAGTTGAGTATCACCCCACATTGCTGTGGGCCTGGAGTGACATGTAAGGCCAGACTGGGTAAGGGTGGTAGTTTCCTTCCCTAATGAAAGCCAGTGAACCAGATGGGTTTTTTCTGACAATTGGCAACAGATTTATGGTCATCACTGGATTCTTAATTCCAGATATTTTATTGAATTCAAATTGCACCACTTTACTGTAATTAAACACAGAAGTGTTAGTCTCAGGAGCTTAGTCAAATGGATTGCAATTTCCAGAGCAGTTCTAGATGCCTCTAGAACAACAGTGATCAAATGAAGATGTGTTGTACAGCTCAACCACGTGCTCCTTCATAAAAAGCATCGAACCAAGTGACATGCACAGGAAAGTCATAGTCCTTTACTTAGATAGCTGATCAGAGTCAGGGTGCAGCAGCCTTGGTTTACAGATACGAAGCAGAGACAGATATGTGCTCCCACGCTCTAATCAATAACTCTTTCAGGCACAAGAAGAAAAAAAGAACCTTGTACATTCCACTGGTCATGTTGTTCACAGCTCCTAACAAAACATACAGGAAGATGATCGATCATTTCCCTTTTCTGCACTCTTCAATTCAACTCCAAATTCAACACCTGATGAAGCAAAGTCTGTCAGCCACTGAGCAAAATTTTACCGCTCCCAAAAGTTTCAGCCATCTCCCCAATGGATAAAATTTGATCTCTCTCACCCTGCTTTTGATGTGCAAGACTTGACTATACCCCAATCCATTTCAGGCTATTAATTTCTCCATCCACACTCAATACTGGCTGCAGTTAGCTCTCATTCCCCACTTTAACTTTACTCTAATCCCACTTCGCAGTAACATTCTTTATAAATCAGCCCACACCCCAACCACCAGAAAAAAAAAACTCCATTCCATTGCATTAACACCCACAGGATATTCTCTCACTACTGGCTATATTTCTCCTCTCATCATTACTGTCTCTTCCATGTTGCCGCTTCGTAAATATAGACAACTGCAGGAGAGCAAGAATCAGAAATTACTTTGCGAAGAATACAGCAGGTGGTAGAAAGGATGGCAAAGAAGCGAGAGAGGGCATGACAATGGCTTGGTCCACTAAACTGTCAATCTCAGTTACTACCCCAAAGTATATGTTTATCCTTTGATGTGGGTGCAGGAGGCACCTTTGTGTATGTTTTAGCTAATCCCTGTGCCCTGTAGAGAGTACAAAATTATAATTAAATGATGCAGGGCCTTATGAGAAGGAACAATCTTTAGACAACAGCCCAAGATGTTTGACATCATACACCTGGACCCTCTCTCTGAGGACCCACTGAAAACATCTAATCAGTGCTGTAATGGCTCAAGAGCTTAGTGCTGAGGAAAAAGCTGAAGCTAACATTTAATATAAAATCCAATATGTCACCGCCCATGGGCATTTTGCCTGACAGCAATCAGGTTTAATGTTCAGCATGAGAATGGCCTTTTTCTTTCAACTGTGAGACTGATGAACCATCAATCTGAAAAATCACAAGGGGTTCTATGTATTTAATAGAAGACAGAGCTGTCCCTTTGTCAATTTTTCACAGAACACAGAGATGGAAGGAGTGCTGTAGAACTAAAACACATATTTGCTAGAGGCTTGCAAAGCCAAACAGAACAGTAAGACAGTGTGCCCACTGTTGCAACATTACACTCTGCATTTTCATTCACACTTCAGTTGAGTTAGGTCTTTTTGTACGAAAGTGTACTCTCTGATCATGGAATGTGACATGATGGATTCGCCTGATCAATTAAATGAACACTGAATTTAACAGACAATGGCAGGGGATAACTAACAAGACTGTTCTGGCTCCATGACTCAGTCATTATTTGGGATATAAACTATACTTATAATTTGCTGCACTGAGGATGTTACCAAGCATGGTAACGAAACGTCTGCGCAACAACAAACCAGCTCAGCG